GATCTCCGGAGCTAGGTATTCAGCAGTCCCAGGCCTTCCACTCCCTCCCTGCTCCGTTTGTCTTCCTCCCGCCGGTGAGCTGGGGTGGGGGAAGGGCTCGGGTCCCACAGAGCCACAGCTCTGGTATGTTACCCCGTTCAGTGAGGTCTGCTCTTTTCTCCAGGTGTGTGCAGTCTGATGCCGTCCTCTTTCCTGCTGCTCTCTCAGGATTAGTTGTGCCAACTATACTTTCTAATTGTATCCAGTTTTAGGAGGAAGCCTCTGTCTCTCCTCTCACACTGCCATCTTTAATCCTTGCTAAAGTCACATTCTTAATCAGCTTGTACTCCCAGCTTAGGGTCAGAAAAGTCTCATAATGTCCCCTTCTCCAGGCTGGTCTTTTGAGCCTTCCTTTGTGCACTCAGCATTGCTGCAAACTGTCAGGATTTGGTGCTCCCCCTGGACCACAACTTATCTCTCTGTATACATGACTCAGGGTGTGGTGCCCCACTTTAAACACAGAAAACCCTTGTCCTGTCATTCTTTTGTCTGTTCTCTTTCTCTTTTCAGTCCAGTAATTTCCCCTCTTTTTTTCTCCTCTGATGATATTTTAGAGCCCCCAGTGGTGTCAAAAAGTATTGCATATTATTTCAGGTCTTTTTCAAGGTAAAGTGCCTTACACACATGTACATGTGTGCTACCATTTTAATCTTTCGTTTAATGTGTCACTTATGATATTTTTAAGTGTGCCCAACTCTATTTCACCATAAATGCTGTGGATTTTATTGTGCAATTTTGTATAATGCAATGACTTTTAGGAATGATATATCACATTACAGCAGGACAAATATCACAGTGTGGCAGAACTACATATTTTCTACTGAGAGTCGTAGTTTAAGAAATTTGAAATCTAAAAACAAACCAACCAAACAGCATTATGTAGACTCATGGGTTACATTCAGCTCTACAGCGATTTCTTAGTTTTTCCCCCAGCTCTTTCTGCTATTAAAGTGACAATGTTGTTCTAAATTAAATATAACTCTCTAAAGAGGAACAGAAATGAATGAAAAAAGTTTCTTTGCTTAAAAGCACTTAGTTATAAAATATTAAAGTTATATATGAAACAAATGAAATTTATAAATTAGCCAAGTGCATATTTTGGTAAAATAATTCATTTTCCATTTTGAGTTATTTAAGAGATTTAAAAGTACATGCAATATCTGTTTGACATTAAACACACACACATGCAAACCCACATATCCCTAGATATAAAAAGTCTTGAAGTAGGCATGAGTTTTCATTGAAAAATATGATTAATATGATACTTCATTACTTTCTTCAAAGTAAAAATAGGGTATTTTGCTACTGTCAGGTACATTATTCAGGGTAATTTACCTCCATCTGCTGGAAATTTTAAGCAATTACCAGTTAACTCACTCCATTTTTATGAGGCATGTAACATTTTCAAAGTGTAGGGAAAAATGTTTGTCTTTCTGTCCTGGATAGTGTTTTCGGCACTTCAATATAATATACCTTATCAGCTAAATAAAAATAAAAGATTATATTACCTTTATGTCAAATGAATCTTCTGTTCTCTTATATTTAATTTCTTATTATTTTAGAGAAAGCATTTCTGTCTCTAGCTTCAGATATTGCAGAGCCAACTATACTTAACGCCACTAACACCAGCCTCACCATCAGATTACCGCCTGCCAGGACAAATCTCACGGGGTACGGCATCACCAGCTCTACTCCAACGTACCTGGTTTATTACAAAGATGTTGAAGGAGGCAAAAACAGCTCTGAGTTGAAATATAGAATGCTGGTAAGATTGGAGCTGGTGGTCTGTGTCTTTTCACAAAATGCCTTTTTTGATATAAAATTCTCACAATTACGTCTTTTCTATATTATGTTCTGAAATGTACTGTTATGTTAACTTTTATAGTAGATTCATCAAAACATACTTTTATCTAGTCTTTTTGTCTGGGAATAAGGCTCATGGAAGTGTATTAACTCTGACCAGTGGATTGCCACAATAACAGTTTCTGAGTGTCCTGAAAGAATGGGGATCATTGCCCTCCCTGATTATCGAATTATTTCCAGAAAATGATACAGATTTGTTTTTGTGGCCTATCCAAAAGATTACAGATTGAAGAGTAGGAAATACACTGGGCAGAAAGACCATTGCCATACACCTCTCCTCCATAGCATATATCTGATATAAAAAATGTACACTGTATTTTTGTCTGTTATTTCCTATATGTTATGAAATGTGCAGGGACATGTTTTTATTCACTATATTCCTAGCACCTAGCATAGTATTTAGCATTATATAGGCATTCACTAGATATTTCTTGAATCAATAAATGAATTGGCATAATTAATTCCATCATTAGCATTGGTGTTTTAATTGTTGTTGTGGTGGAATCATACATACCCAATATTTTTCTTTGTGCTTATTATTTAACCAAGTCAAAAGGTGAAATTGATCATCATCTACTAGAGGTTAAGCACTAAAAGCTTTGCCAGAAAATATGCCTCCTCTGTTTTGTTTATTTTAACTTTTCTTTGCACGTTTCTAGGAATTCTTTTCAGAGTCAGATTGGATCATTTGGTTGTCCAAGATTGGGCTTGTGGCATTGGACACTTCTGTTATCAGGGATAATCTATATTATTGTCTTTACATTGATTAATATGAGCTAAAGGCAGTAATTCGCCACCTTGACTGCACATTGGACCTTCTAAAATCTCTGGGCCCATGCTTCACCTCAGACAAACACAGACTCTTGGGGCGGGACCCAGCATAAGTATTTTCTTAAAACTTCCCAGATGATTATATAGTACAACCTGAGATGAAAGCCATTTGTCTAAGGAAAGTCTTTTTCTGTCTGAAACTTCTTTTCTAAGAAGGATTAGATAATATAGCTCAATCTTTTATCATATTCACTGTGTGTTCCATCCTTATAAGATCATCTTGATGAATTTCTAGAGCAATGCTAATGAAATAGTGTCCTCTTTGGGGGATTTAACTTCCTATATAAATGAGCATGTCACAAAACTGACTGAGAGCTGCCAATCATTTGGTATTTATTCTTGGAGATATAAACAACCCAGGCTTGGGCAGATTAGGACAGTGAACATTGGTCACTCGTGTGCCAAAATTTTAAAATTAATTTAGTTTTTGAAATCTTTTAATTGTTCTCTTGGCTTGATTAAATAATTTATCCCCATTTATACAAAAAATAAGAATCAAATGTTGATTTTTAAAAAATTAATTACAGGAATTTCAGGAGAGTATAGCCCTTATTGAGGGTTTACAACCATTTTCTACCTATATGATACAAATAGCTGTAAAGAATTACTATTCAGATCCTTTGGAACAATTACCTCTGGGAAAAGAGATCTGGGGAAAAACTAAAAGTGGAGGTGAGTATGGGCCTAGTGTGGGCTTCTAGAATGGAATTGCCCGATATATGTCATGTGTGTCTGTATTTGTTTTTAATCTGAATGCTAAGATATCTTTATTATGTGAACTTTTTTAGGCTTATTAAGAAAACTGTATTTGTTGAAATATAGTTTGGTGACCTGATTTTTGTTCTAACACCAGAAGATGATGAATAATATTACATCAGAATGAAAAGCAAGTAGCAGATGAAACATCAGAATCAACACTGTTTGACCAAGAAACACTTTCTTTGGTCTCACCACACAGTGTCACCCTCTTCGCAGATATTTATAGGTCTCTGTACACGTGGTGAGATGGGAAAGTCAAGCCTTTTCTCTATGTGTATTTTACTGAGGCCTCTGAGATCTAAAGTAATATAACACCATAGCTGTAAAAAAAATGGACCTAGAATCTGAAAAGGTGTTTTAAGAGGTGGCCATTCTGGGGTGATGCCATTTCTTTCACATGTCTTTGATGATTCACAAAACTCATGCAAATTAGGTTATTCCTCATCATTGACTGTATCCTTGAGCAGGAGTCAGAGGAGGATTTAGTCATTAGGCAAAAATAAGCAAAAGTCTTTGGGCAGCCTGTTCCCTCACCATTATACAAGAAACTGGCTTCAGAACATCTGTCATTCATTCTGCTCACATGACATAATTATTCCTCAACCAAGACACTGTTACTTCTTTCTGTTTTTTAGCATGGTTGCAACATCCCTTATCATGCGTTGCTGTTTATTTCAGTACCAGAGGCAGTTCAGCTCATTAACACAACCGTGATATAGTCTCTCTATATCCTGGAGTGAGACTCATAAGCCAAACGGACCTAAGGAGTCAGTGCGCTATCAGCTGGCAATCTCACAACTGGCCCTGATTCCCGGGACTCCTCTAACACAAAATGAATATCCAAATGGAAGGCTCACTCTCCTCGTTACTAGACTGTCTGGTGGAAAACTATACTTGTTAAAGGTACAGTGATTGTGTAGGACATTTTTATTGCCATTCTCAAGCGCAAGGTTCTGAAAAAGTTAAGCAATTTTTTTTTTTTACAAAAAGGTTTTGGCCTGCCATGCCAAGGAAATGTGGTGTGCTGAGAGCCATCCTGTCACTGTGGAAATGTTTGACACCCCAGAGAAACCTTACGTGTTGGTTCCAGAGAACACTAGTTTGCAATTCGATTGGAAGGCTCCATCTAACGCTAAGCTCATTAGATTTTGGTTTGAGCTCCAGAAGGTAGATCTCACCATACACTTTTAATGCAAATCATTGTCCGCAGCCATCAAATAAAATGGAAGGTCTTTTTCATATCTCTTAGGCATTCTCTTGTATAAGTCAACAAAATATTTGACAACATCCTTGATTCAGATTTGGCATATAGAGATGGTAAGCTATCTAGACTAATTGCTGATAGAAAGAATTCCCAGAGAGATTAATTTGCTTTTCAAAGGATCCATGTGAAAGGGTGTAAGTTGTGTTTTACTAATTTAATAATATTTTACTTACTTTAGATGTTATCACCATAACTCTCTGATTTCAAGTCCATATACAAAAAAAGAGAAATGAACCAACAAAAACCCCCAACCTTCTTTAGAGATGCTCTTTTCACCACTTAAGGGCTGGATAGCAACAAGAGAGAAGTAAAACATTAAAGTAGTTTATTCTAAACTAGTATGATATAATCTAGGCTTGTAACTGTAAATGGTTTCTCATCTAAAAATTTTCATGCTTTGACTAATATAAAAATATTCTCTGAAATAAAAAAAATTGTCAGTTGATCTAATTAATTCACTGCTAGGGAAAGTCTACAGTGATTTTTATACTGATACACTTAGAAAGATATTAACTTTTTATAATTGCTACATTTCATTTTCACTATTACATATTTGTGTGTCTACATTTGTAACATTGGTTAGGAATGGTGTGTTCGGTGGTAACTTAAAACCAAACTGTATAGTCATGGGCCTCATATTCTCTTTAAAAAATGAAATCGCTCCCAGGATGTTTCAAAACTTTATTACATAAGAATTTTTTATAATTGTGTACTTTTTTTAGATAAAAACTGTGAAAAATAAGAAACTCAAAACAAATGTTTAGTTGATAAAACCAAAGGCCATAGTTTAATTGGACTTTTTCCATTGAGCATATTTATGATGATTTGTTGCCTATATAAAAAACAGTCATCTTATAAAAATGCAGTTATATTAGAAAAATTGGAGGGTCACCTTTTTTGGACATTTATTCAAGTAAGCTTAAAGCAGTTCATTTTAAAGTTAAGGGGAGTAGCGTAAAGTTCATCTCCTACATCAAAGAAGTGAAATGGAAGAGGACCTTTGAGATGATGACCCACTAGGCTCTCATTTTACTGATAAGCTGGAGACCTAGACAGATGCCATGATGAGTCAGATATCAGCCAGGCAGAGGAGGACCTGAGGTGCTGACTCATCCCTACATCTGTCCTACTTGGGTGCTATCCATGGGAGGCATATGAGTCATTAAGTAACCCCACTCCTCAAATTCAAATTCTGGGAGAAGAACAGCAGACAGGGATCACCTGGTTCAGTATTCATGACTTTCATGCAATGTTTTTTATTCCCAAACTTCCTCTGTTCTTATAGTTGCTCCACACAGGTTCCAGATAGACCACTTAGAAAATCATGAAGCTGAAAATGTTAGATACAGTAATTTCTACATGTGTGACCATGTATAGTACTAACTGATGAACACAGTAGCAAGGGCTGATAAACAATGTCTCGTCAGAAAGTTCTATTTCTTTTGAGAAACTTGAAGCACCTCATTATAGTAGGACAGCTAGAAATTGCCCTATAACTTCACACAGAAACTCTGAAGATTGAGTGATGATGGTGGATATCTTTTAAATTAGTATTTTTTTAGAAAGGAAAGGAGAAAAGAATAAACTTCCAGTTTGTTTTTCCATAAAAATTTCCTTAAATGGAAAATGAGGGAATTAGAGCACAAGGCTAAATTTTGATCTAGGTCTTAAATTCCATCAATTTTTTATCACAACAGTATGGAGAACATATTCAATTTAAGACTGAGGAGAAAAAAGTAATTTTGCTTTGGCACACTCTCATGGAAGTCCATTTTTCTCAGCTGTCTAGGGAAATCCTTACCAGAAACAAACATTTCTGAAGTTCCAGTCTCTAAGATATCATACTCTGTACCATTTCCCCCCATCCCCACCCAAATAATGTGCAAACCCCTCTGTGGTAGTCCTTATCCCTGCACTTGCTGGTCTCTGACAAACGGAAGTCCTGACTCCCTTGGGGTTTTCTGGGGTAGCCTGTGGCACATTTCCAAGTTGGTGGTCTGCCCAGAACATTCATTGCTGTGGGCAGGCCAGTACTCTACAGTTTTCCAGCTGTCACCTTGGTCAAACATCTCCTTGACATGCCAAGGAACTTGGATAATTTCTGGGTGGTGTGGAATGTTGGACCATCTAGAGTCTTCACCTAAGGTAATTTCTATAAGGAGATTGTTAAGGAGACAGGACCAAAAAGGCTAAAATTTTTGAATCAGGAGTCCATATTTCTCCCTCTCCCTCCCTCTCTCTCTGTCACAAGATTAAGAGTAAATATTATGGATCTGTAAATCTGTTATACTGGGCTCTATCTCAGGGGGATTGATACATTTATAAGTTTAGCAGGCAATGGCCCTGACATCAACATTTCTGGTGTTTTTTTTCATTCCTTCCATTCCCCTTTTCTTTTTGTAGCAAGGTAGTTTACTTCCTAAAGGTGCTATAGAGAATCATTCCTAATTGAATAGAAAGCTAATATAAAGTGTCCATCCAATGAAATGAAGTAACCTTGTAAGTGCTAAATGAAAAGGGAGATATAAAGTTTATTTATGGAAAGTGACCTTCTTAGGAAACTCTACTGGGGAAAATACACTAAGAAACCTTGACAAAATGCCACGTCCTTTGTCTTTTCCTATTTGTATTTTGAAAAAAATCACCATTTCAAATAAGTTATTAAGGGTGCAAATACACAGCAATGTCACAAGGAAAGAAGTTTAAGATGGCTATAATTAGAAGCCCAGTAGCTAAAGTGGAATGAAAATAAGATTTCCAATGGTTAACTTCTAGCCTTGCTTAGTGGCTGAGCGATGGTGGGCAAAAATTTCCTTCTTTTAGGGAACTAGGCTTTCCACATATAAAAATAAGGAATGCTGGTTAGATGTCTGAAGAGAGTTTTGGGAGGAAAAACTAAATGTTTTAATTTATAAATCACCATGGATTTCTTCAAAGAATCAAAATACATACAAAGTATTATTTTGAAGTTAGCAAATCTGTGGAATTGAATATAATTGTTTAGATCCATCATTCTACCTAAGCTGTGAATTTGCATTCTTCATCATCCTGTTTTAATGTAGGTATCTATGATCAGGGATAACAAGAAATCAAGCTCTCAATCTTCCCCGCTGATATATAGCCAGAGGTGCTCTATATTCCACCTTGGACTTAGCCTAAGAAGTGTCATTCAAGATAGTTACAGCTTATCATGAAAAATAAATGGCTGCTGGTGGTGGGAATGACGTTTGGGATCAAACATTAATAAAGATATTCCTCTTTTTAATAGAAAATTTTATTTGAGTTTTTAATTGCTTGCCCATAGGCTTGTGAATTTCTACATTTCAGAAACAAGGTTTTCTTAAAGAAACAGAAATGTTAATTGAGACTTCTTTTTCTAGTGGAAGTACAATGACTTTTACCATGTTAAAGCATCATGCAGCCAAGGTCCTACTTATGTCTGTAACATCACAGATCTACAGCCTTATACTTCCTATAATGTTTGAGTAGTAGTGGTTTATAGGACAGGAGAAAATAGTACATCCCTTCCAGAAAGCTTTAAGACAAAAGGTGAGTACTTACATACTCAGCACTCAGAAAACCCTATATATTTTTTAATTCTTTTCTCATCACTTATTTCACCAATCCCACAGGTGTAACTTTTCCTTGAAGGAGTAAATTACTATTTCTAGAGCTTGAGTGAAGAGATAGAAAAAAATCAGGAGTCTGTATAGGCAGTAATGAGATAATACTGACCTGGTTTTGCAGGATCCTGAACTTGGCAAAATTATTTCACCCTTCAATATTTTTATTTCCTGTTTAGCTATGATATTTTATGGTGGAAACTAAATAAAAACAGTGTTACTGAGAGATCAATGAAAAGTGTTTACTTATTGACTACTATAGTCCAGATGCTAAAAATAAAAAATCTAAGAAGTGTGTTAAATTAACTAATGTTCTAAAAAGTATATGACGACTCCAAGTTGATTGTATAAGAATCAAGGGAAAATGCTCCAGAACTTAGGATAGTTTTCTTATTTGCATCACTTATTTTGTGTCAAGCTAAGTTATCTAATCCATCAAATCTTCCACTAAGAAAAACTTCAGATGTTCATTTAAGAATATGAACTCATATGATGATATTTCTGAATATTTATTTAATGTATTTGACTTTCCTATTAGTAAAGATATTCGATAGAAAGCTATTATGCAGAGTATTTTATTTGTCAATCAGTATTTTCTTTTGTTTCCAAAGCTGGGGTTCCAAGTAAACCAGGCATTCCAAAATTATTAGAAGGGAGCAAAAATTTAATACAGTGGGAAAAAGCTGAAGACAATGGGAGCCGACTTATGTACTATATCCTTGAGATCAGGTATGTCTGTGGCAAAAGTGTTTTGTAAGCTACAAAGAGCTAAGCAGTTAATTGTAATTATTATTAGATAAAAATCAACAACATTCATGAATGTGTATTTATAAATAAGCATAATAAAAATAATCTTTAGTTTAAGGACCTTACATGCATTATTACCTTCTTTGCTCAGCCTTGGTACTTCAGTTATAAGGACTATCACATCACTCTCCTCAGAAATCTGCAGCTACTTGTCAAAACTTTATGGAAATAATTCAATTATTGGTGCATACAACTAACATTTATTTAATATCTATTCTGTTTAAGAAGCTGAGCTGATGTTAGATGATGGTATGCATACAAATTTCTGATGATAACATTTTTTAGCAAGATGAATACTGTCTAGTGAGACTTGACAATGAGCTAAGTATTTTTCATCATGTAAAGTCAGGTCAAGGTCCAAAATGGTCTGCAGTGTTTGTTACAGGCCACCCAGGATTCTCCATCCGTTGTGAAGATTATAGTTTGCAGTGTTCCCAGGAACTGAAAACGTTTCTTCCATGAAAACTATGCAGCTATGAACATATGCAACCTCATATCCAGCCAGTATGAGGAGCTCTGTGAGTCATGACTGGCTCAGATGAGCTGGTTTCATGCCAACTTGAGAGGAGAATTCCAAATTCCACAGACACTCTCCTCATGGGACTATGAAGCCATCTTTTAAGAAGCTCCAAGGACAAAAGTCACTTTTATAATTATAGTCCTCACAACTTGAGCTTTAGATCTATTTTTGCTTCATCTTGCTCTGGCATTACCATAACCTTAGAAAATTTTCCTACTCATGCTAGGTAAGTACATTGGCCACATTTCTAAATGAAACATTCTTGAAATTTCTGTTACTGGTTTTTGTACAGAGTGAAATACATTCTGATCTGCAGAACTGTCATGGTGGTCGGTGACTGTAATCATGCTCAATTACACCACAGTCTTGCTAGGACCCTTTTAATGTGTTGTCTTCAGTAACACCTTAAGTGCAAAGTTCCATAAATACTTTACATTTCCTTTACCCCAGTCTATGCTATAAGGACAGGGACCATGAGGTAATATAATGAATTGTGGTACCTTCAGTATCTCAAAGTAACTTCTTCAGCCAGGACTCTCTAGGACTCCTTGTATGTTTGCCAGTGGTGCAGTGGTACTGCAAAGTTATGAAGTTGGGAGCAGAACAGACTGCATTAATCTTTAGGTCTGTTGTAACAAAGTACCAGCAATGGGTGGCTTAAAACAACAGATGTTTATTCTCTTCTTGGAGACAAGAAGTCTGAAATTAAGGTTTCAGTAGGACCATAATCCTTCCGAAGGTCCTAGAAGAATCCTTCTAGAAAGACTGTAGAAGACAGAAGGTTGAAAGAAGAATCCTTTCTTGTGCCTTCTAGCTTCTGCTTCCTTACATCTTTTCAGCAATCACTACTGGCAGTCCTTGGCATTCCTGGGCCTGCAGATGCGTCACACTCCAATATCTGGCTTTGTCATCACATGGCATTAAGTGTGTCTGTGCCTAAATTTCTCTCTTCTTAGGAGGCACCAGTCATTGGAGTTGAGTCTACCCTAATTCCATATGACCTCATCTTGACTATATTACATCTGAAAACCCTACTAACAACCAAGGTCACATTCACAGGGGCTGGGTGGGCATGAATTTTGGACAGACACTATTTAACCCAGTCTACAGATCATGTCTAAATCCTTGCTTTATTCCTTTTTTGAACTGAAGTTTTCCCATCTATAAAATGGAATGATGATATTTACTGCTTTAGACTGTAAAGATTCAATGAATGAAACAACATATGAAAAGCACCAAATATAAATATGTTAGACATATGGTATGTTATAAACAAAAGGTGTTCAGTCTATGTCAGAATTTTTCCTTCTCTTCCTCAATGGCCAATAACTGTGAAGAGCCATTTTATAAAATTTTAGGGGTCTCTATCTTTTGGGTCAGAGTTACATGGGTTGGAAAATGAAATTGCCAATGCCTAACATGAGACTTCACGAAACGTATAAAAACATTGCATGCTTTATGCAGGATGGTCCCTAGGACACTTAGCTCCTGGTAACTGAGCACTCAGCGGGGTAGAACTGGCTTCTACTACAAATCTCTAAGCTTGTGTGGGTTGGCACCAAGTCCTAAATCTATTGTAGTCTGAAAAGTTTCAGACTTGAAAAGTTGTTCACTGTCAAAGAAGACATTAGTATAAGGTTTTGAACTGGCCTTATTCACTCTATGATTCTGTTAAAAGCTGTTCCAGGAACATCTTCTGAGCTCAGCTCTGTGTTTTTCTCATGTTTCATATGAAGAATAATATGGATTGACTTTGAGGTACAGTGTAGGCCAATAAAAATGACAGCAATGAACCTTGGAATCTCAGACAAAATGACAACTTTGGTAACTGAACTATTACACCTCCCTCATCAATTTTATGTCCTGTGGTTTATTTTATCTAGCTATGGTATATGTAAACTGCAGATGGCTTAAGAGACTAAAAATTAAGGAAAATAAAAAAGTTCTGGGTTAAAAATTATATAGTAATTGTCTTATGTATTTGGAATTCTAAAGAAAGTTTACTCACTTTAATAATAGGAAAATGCTCTTCAGCTTTCTCTTGGCCATTGACTATTCACTGTTCTACTGATGGCTGAGTAGGTTGGCTCCATACATTGCTTGGTGTCTTTGTAAGACTGTGCTGTGTTCTGTAGCCAAACCATGTGAGAGCATTGAGGTCAAGGGTAAAGTGTACAGACTGTCATCAAAATGGTATGTGAACATCTTGAAATTACACATATATTGCCTCATTTATGTTCTATATTTACAGTTTTGCCTTTTTCTTTGCAGAAAAGGCATTTCAAATGATTCACAGAACCAGAATTTAATGTGGAACGTGGTATTTAATGGATCCTGCAGTAGTATTTGCACATGGAAGTCCAAAAACCTGAGAGGAACATTTCAGTTCAGGGTAGTAGCTGCAAATAATCTGGGATTTGGTGAATACAGTGGAGTCAGTGAGAATATTACATTAGTGGGAGGTATGTTACCATATCTGTCTACATACTAACTTATTATTCAAAGATTCAGAGATAAAGATAAGTGAATTCTTAATATTAGCAACAAATTGGGTGTCTATTTAACTTATCACCCAAACTATTGAACTATTCACTCATCTGATGTGCTTTTCTTAAAATATTAGTATCATCATGTCTTTTTTCTTCTCAGTAATAACCAGCTACTCCTTAATGCCTACCATATCAAGTCTATACTCTTAGATAGGCTTCCAAGGCTGCCAACGGTCTGGTCTTTATCCATCCTTACTATCCTCTTCCTGGTACTCTAATCTTCTACACAACAGGCCTAATACTACCCCTTCATCTATATCTTCCACTGTGTATCCTATTTTAATTTAGGATATGTCTTTCTAATCACATAGGCTGGAAATCTCAGTACCATATTTGATTTTTCCCTCTACTCAGGCACCATGTTCTGCTGATTTACCATCTTGATTTTTGTCTGATGAGTGACCATCTTCCTGTTTCTTCTTTGGCTTTCCTAATTTAAGCTATCATTTCTTGCCTATGCTCTTGCCTTAGACACACTGCTGACAGTTAATTTAGTTGAAGCACAAGCAGATCACTTAACGCCTCTCTGAAATGCCTGAGATGGCTCTCCATTCACTTCCTGCAGAATCAAGAACAAACTTTTGTGTGGCACTTAAGGTCATCCATGACTTGTCCCCCAGTTGTGGTTCATCATTCCCAATATTTTTCCCTATGTTGTAGCCATATCAGCGAGAGAAAAAACTTTTATGAAATTCAGTCTTTAGCCTTTGATGCCCTCAGTCTAGCAGGCTTCCACCAGCTACTGTGCAGCCCTTGACTGAGACTTCCTTTCCCTCACTTTTCTGTTACTTGAAATTCTTGTCATCTTTCAAGGGCTAACTTAAATTAACCCATAGTTGATGCATAACTGATACTCCTTTGGCAAAATCAATTATTGTGTTTCACACATAAAGCCTGTAATTCTGTATAAAACTTGCATAATTCTTATTTGTCTTATAGTTAGTTATCTGGATAAGAACTCAGAAAGTGTTTTATAAAAGAACAATAGAAATAATTTAGGCTTTGTAGGATATATCTGGTTTCTGTAGCATATTCTTCTTTTTTATATAATATTTTTAAAATGTAAAAATCATTTTTAGCTCATGGGCAGCACAAAATGAGGACATGGCCAGACTTGGCCACAAGACCATAGGTTGCCCAACTGTGGTCATGTTTGTTTTCTCTCTGAAACTACTGAAGGAGAAGTTTCCATGTCTTCATGTTTATATTCCTCAGTTTAATATCCTTGGAATTAAGTGTGTGTGAAGATGTTATAGAAGAAATACTTATCCCAACTCTATCATATGTGAAAACTGAAACTTCATTGTCTCAAATTCCTTAAAAACATTATGCATGTTTACTCAGCTATTTTAGAGTAGAAGGCCGGGTGGGTATATTCTAATGGTGTATTGATAAACCAGATCATTGGGGTAGAAAAAGATAAAAACCCAGATTTAGATTTCCCGTGGTATAAATGCTCTCACCATGGATGATTTAACAACTGGGTTGCAAAAATCCAGTAGAGCTAGTTTTGGCAATCTGGCATATCACTGGGACTATCTGGCTTTATTCTATGAATTAATTTTTTTCTCACTCATTTTATTAGATGGCGTTTGGATATCAGAAACAAGTTTTATGCTTACTATTATAATTGGAATATTTCTGGTTGTTACAATCCCATTGACCTTTGGTAAGTATAATAGATTTAAGAATATAGGCAATAAACTATTTACTTGATTACTTAATTAACTATCATATTGATTGATCTCTTAGTTTAGTTAACCTTCCGTATGAAATAAATTCATAAAATTCACCATGTTACCTTTGGCTTTACTTTCCTAACGACTAACTGAATTGTTTTCTGATCTAGGGGTAGCTATTTATGAAAAATATATCTGTACTTACACTCCATGGTGTACATTTGATATAACTCCTCACAAGGGCACCAACTTTTAGCTTTCTTTAAAACAATGCTTGTTTCAGATTGGCTATATAACAAGTGTTTTGTGGTTTGTACTTTGAAGTAAATAAAAGGAAAATAATTCTGGGTATAAAAAAGTGTCGGATTAATGGGAGACCAGTGACAATCCTTGGCCAGGAAAACTGGGTCTCAGGCAGACAGCGTGGCTTAAAGTGAGCAGGGCCTCTCGTCGAAGATCCATTTCTGGCTTCTAGGATCCACTCTTGCTTTCAGATGTCTCATCTGCTTATTTCAAATCCTTGCTCATTTACAAATGACCAGAAAGGCAGAAGAATTAGATTAGGTAGATAGAAAGCTAGTTCCCACTATTTCATTTTATACTAATATGCTAGTCCTAAAAGTCTTTAAAAAAAAGAAAAAGATTTAATTTAATGATGGAAAAATAGTGTCAACCTCTACAGGGATGGTCAAATACTAGGCCTGTAGGGTTGTCATAGTGACCACACATCCTGATTCATTCCTGTCACTTCAGCACAACTATTAATAGCATTTTCTTTTAGTGCTCAAAATGTCCTGGTCTGGATTATAAGATACACGGTCACTCCACCATTACTATTGTTATGAATCCTTGACACACCGAAGCATCACAAGAAGGGCATGATACCAGAAAAGAACTCAAGGACATATTCAGAAAATTGTGGCTTATTTTTTTCATAAATAAAGAAAAGTTAGAAAGGAAAGTTTAAGGAAAAGTTATAAACATAAAGTCGAACTCCCTTTGAATAAAGAGTGTCAATATTTTATTAAGTGTTCTAAATCTTTATTATTTTCCCTTACTGATTGGAGTGGTAAGCTATGAGAGAGCATGTGGAAACTTAAATTAAGATTTCTTTTCACAGATTCCACCCAGATAATACATGGAACTTCTTCAGCTGATTTGGAAAGCTAAAAATTTCAGCTGACCCTGCTAGGATTTTAACTTGTGGTTCCAGGGCGTCTAAGTATTGCACAGCTGATGTTTGTGCCACTTAGCCAGCCCCTCCGGAATTATGCATATGACCGCATTATATTTGGCAGTTGGCATATAGGCTTGACTGCTTGTCTGCTTTCCTACTGGGAAGGAGTAATACATGAAGAATCCTTCATCTGACCTTTGCTTGTCTACATGTGCATCACCATTATTTAAACCCATAATTCTAGTGGATGAACATGAGATAATTTCAGACAACCTATTGTGAGTGCTTTCAAGACATCCTATGGATATTTGACTTTCTCAGGACTTAAAGGTCTTTATTTTGTTTGGAACTCATGGATTTTTGAGTATAGCTAAGCTAATTCCATTCTTTGCTTTTAGTAGCGGTGAATGTGGTTTTTCTAAGTAGAAGTGTGCAAGTGCATGAGAAACGGTTGAGTTACTAAAATAATGAAAAGTAACAATTGTTTAAAAATTTGTGTGGTGCTGAGGGCTCTCATCAGTCATACTTTAAAATGTAAAACTGAAACAAGGGTTTAAAAATAAGCATGACAATCTTTAGTGAGTGGTCATGTCTAACATGCAATGTCAGCTTTCTGCTGGGAGTAGAGGGAACTCTGAAAGTGTAAAATACACCTGCTGACTTGGAGCATGCCATTTAATGAAGGAGATAAGACATATCTATGTGAAAAGATAAATAGCGAGGTCTGTGTTAAACAACAGCAAAAGGCAATGAAATGCACAAGATAGTGACATAGAAAAGCTGAGAGCTACAAGTGGTCTTACAACTTCAGAGATGAGAGACCAGCAGAGGTTGCAGATCTCAGGAGGCATCACTGAAGATGTGAGGCCTTAAGCTGGGCCTTTGAAAATGAAGAGGGTTAGTGAGATCACATAAGGATTCAAATATTGCATTAGCAAAAGTACTTAAAATTTTCCTCTGTGTGGTCCCTCCAGTGGAATTTCACTTGAATACAACTCTAAAAGAATGGATGCAGAAAATACAATGGATTAAAGTTCAAATTTTAATGATCAATTCCCAGAGCATCCTTCTATTGTTAACTTCTAAGCCAATATTCTAGTGTAGATGGAAGATCTTACAGACGTGATTGTATTTTCATCTTCAAAATATCACTTATTTTTTATGATAATAAAAATAATATTTGCTCATTGTATGAAGAAGACAATGTATCACCTGTGATTTGCAGCCAGGGTGGATCACTGCTAACATTTGGTGGGTTTCATTACAATGTTTTTACTGTGTATTTGAGTCTGTGTATATGAACAGCAATGGATATAAACTCTCATACTTTGCATTTTTTAAAAAAGCATGCCATTATATTAAAAACATTCCTCAGGTCTATGGAGTACAACCTGGACATACCCAGACTCAGAAATGAATTTGTTTCACTAATGAATACTATGCAAACTGGTTTTCATATATTTTAACTCTGGCTTATGGGTGATTTTGAGATATATGTTTGTATATAAAGATACTTCAACTTGTTTATAAGAGCAATAAAAATGTATTAAACTTTAAGATGTGGGATTAAAAAGTTATGTGTTTTTATATAACTTTTACCTGTATTAAGTCAGTTTTTCCCTTAGGGACCTATTTTTCAATTAAATTCTATTATCCTATCAATGGTGTTGTTATATATAGACATTTAAAATGTATTATTAATATTTCCTAAAGGAAAAAGAAAGCAATGCTTTATTTTATAAATTATGTCCTTTTTTCTTTATAGTCTGGCACAGAGGATTAAAGAATCAAAAAACTCCCAAAGAAGGGCTGACAGTTCTCCTAAACGAAGATAAAGAATTGGCTGAGCTTCGAGGTCTGGCAGCTGGAGTAGGCCTGGCTAATGCCTGCTATGCGATACAGTACGTGACCCAGGCCATCATTATGGGCACCTAGGTGTAGGGTGGCACTGTAAAGTTGGTTCCTGTGGACCCTGTGTTGCCCAGCATTGTTCTGGTATAATTATTAATAACATATTCTTTCACCCTCAAATGTGACCTGAGATGGATAACAAATTAGGTGGTTATCCTATCCTAATGAAATAAGCAAAAAACAGTTGCATTCCAATGTTTTATCTCACTGTTCAAAAATAAGTGAAATCAGGAAATAAATTTACTAGAGAAAAGAGTAGATGGTAACATGATTGTTTCAACTGGAGGCAACTGGAGGAGAAGCCTTCCAAGGGACTCATGAATGTGCTTACTCTGTTTTCAAATTCTTATGACGATCGCTTACAAAAGCTCTTGAAGACCAATGAGTTTTGAATTTCTGTTGTCATAATTAAAGAAAATATTTAAGTGTCTTTTTGCAAAAGACACTATAATATGGTCTCTGCAGAATTATATAGTCATAAGTCTTGAAATTTATAATTTCAGGCATAAAAACAAAGGATTTGAAATAGACACAGATGTGATCTAAATTAGCTATTCAGAGACCTTTTCCTTGAAAAATGCTCAAAGATTCCTTTTTAAAAACTCAAAGCATTTCAGATGCCCATGTATTTTTTTCTCTCATAATCCAAGTGAGAAGCTTAGCTGTCTAAAAGTTAACCCAATGGAGTTGGAGCTGATTTTTGTGGTCATAGTAAATGTTGTTTTACATAAAAGATCAGGTATGTGAAATAAAGTGAAAACTTTTTAGCTCACAAACAGATGTATTTATTACTAATTTGTGAACGTTTCTATACAAATTTGTAATCTGAAAAAATTAATAAGAAAGCTGATAACATTAACAAAATAAGCTAAAGTAAAAAATCTTGAGGCAATGTACACACAGGCATATTTCTATCAAAATGAAGGTGCCTAGAAGCAAAGTGACATGCTCTCTCTGGGTTTTAGAAAAGGTAAGGAATATTCTAGATGGTGGAATAGGGTAGGAACAGGAATGAAAAATTCCGTGTCACATAGAATGCACTAAAGTGTTGAAAAGACATGAGGTTTCTCTTTCTCTTTTTCATAGTCTCTCTCTCTCTGTTCCAAATGCTAACTGCAATGCCAACACCAACTTGTAAATCATAGGTATTTGGGAAACCAAAAATATCATTATTTTTAGTACTCTTCCAACCCAAGAGGAGATGGAAAATCTTCCTGCCTTCCCTCGGGAAAAATTGACTCTGCGTCTTTTGTTGGGAAGTGGGGCCTTTGGAGAAGTGTATGAAGGGACAGCAGTGGACATCTTAGGAGCTGGAAGTGGGGAAACCAAAGTAGCAGTGAAGGTAATTTCAAATTTTAACTCCTTGACATGCTATGACAGTATATTTACATGCATTCACAAGGATATGACTATAATAAAAGATGACTAATCTTAATCAGAAAGAGAACTGGTAGAAGGTAGAAGCCTATCCATGGCTATAGAAATTATATTTTTTCTTCCATTTCCTACATAAATTCTGTAATTAATGGTAACCTCTAAAATTACTAATTAGCTAAGACCTAGAAGACAGTTTTTTCCTTCAAATGTACTATAAGATAATTGCAGTTGTGAAGTATATTCTCAAGGCATTAGGTACTAGGGCAGATAGTGAATATTTTAGATTTGCGGGCTATATGGTGTTAGTTGCAACTACACAACTCTGCCATTGCAGTGTGAAAGCATCTACAGTCATTATGTAAATGGGGAAGTGTAGTTGTATTCCAGTAAAACTTTATGAAATCGGAAATTTGGGTGTCATATAATTTTTTTATTTTTTTATTTTGTTATCATTAATCTACAATTACATGAAGAATATTATGTTTACTAGGCTCTCCCCTTCACCAAGTTCCCCCCACAAACCCCATTACAGTCACTGTCCATCAGTGTAGTAAGATGTTGTAGAATCACTACTTGTCTTCTCTGTGTTGCACAGCCCTCCCTGTGCCCCACCACATTATACATACTAATCATAATACCCCCTTTCTTCTTCCCTGCCCTTATTCCTCTCTACCCTCCCATTTTCCCCAGTCCCTTCCCCTTTGGTAATTGTTAGTCCAATCTTGGGTTCTGTGATTCTGCTCCTGTATTGTTCCCTCAGTTTTTCTTTGTTCTTATACTCCACATATGAGTGAAATCATTTGGTATTTGTCTTTCTCCACTTGGCTTATTTCACTGAGCGTAATACCCTCTAACTCCATCCATGTTGTTGCAAATGGTAGGATTTGTTTTCTTCTTATGGCTGAATAATATTCCACTGTGTATATGTACCACATCTTCTTTATCCATTCATCTACTGATGGACACTTAGGTTGCTTCCATTTCTTGGCTATTGTAAATGGTGCTGCGATAAACATAGTGGTGCATCTGTCTTTTTCAAACTGGGCTGCTGCATTCATAGGGTAAATTCCTAGAAGTGGAATTCCTGGGTCAAATGGTATGTCTATTTTGAGCATTTTGAGGAACCTCCATACTGCTTTCCACAATGGTTGAACTAATTTACATTCTCACCAGCAGTGAAGGAGGGTTCCCCTTTCTCCATAACCTCACCAACATTTGTTGTTGTTTGTCTTTTGGATGGTGGTGATCCTTACTGGTGTGAGGTGATATCTCATTGTGGCTTTAATTTGCATTTCTCTGATAACTAGCGATGTGGAGCATCTTTTCATGTGTCTCTTGGCCATCTGAATTTCTTCTTTGGAGAACTGTTCAGCTCCTCTGGCCATTTTTTAACTGGATTATTTGCTTTTTGTTTGTTGAAGTGTGTGAGCTCTTTATATATTTTGGATGTCAAGCCTTTATCAGATCTGTCATTTATGAATATATTCTCCCATACTGTAGGGTACCTTTTTGTTCTATTGATGGTGTCCTTTGCTGTACAAAAGGTTTTCAGCTTGATATAGTCCCACTTGTTCATTTTTGCTTTTGTTTTGGACGTTTTCCAGTGAGATATGCTCATGAAGAAGTCGCTCATGTATATGTCCAAGAGATTTTTGCTATTGTTTTTTTCTAAGAGTTTTATGGTTTCATGACTTACATTCAGGTCTTTGGTCCATTTTGAATTTGCTTTTGTATATGGTGTTAGACAGTGATCCAGTTTTATTCTCTTACATGTAGCTGTTCAGTTTTGCCAGCACCATCTGTTGAAGAGACTGTCATTTCTCCATTGTATGTCCATGGCTCCTTTATCATATATTAGTTGACCATATATGTTTGGGTTAATGTTTGGAGTCTCAATTCTGTTCCATTGGTCTGTGGCTCTGTTCTTGTGCCAGTAGCAAATTGTCTTGATTATTGTGGCTTTGTAGTAGAGCTTGAAGTTGGGGAGTGAGATCTCCCCCACTTTATTCTTCCTTCTCAGGATTGCTTTGGCTATTCGGGGTCTTTGGTGTTTCCATATGAATTTTTGAACTATTTGTTCCAGTTCATTGAAAAATGTTGTTGGTAATTTGATAGGGATTGCATCGAATCTGTATATTGCTTTGGACAGGATGGCCATTTTGATGATATTAATTCCTCCTAGCCAAGAGCATGGGATGAGTTTCCATTTGTTATTGTCCTCTTTAATTTCTCTTAAGAGTGTCTTATAGTTTTCAGGGTATAGATCTTTCACTACTTTGGTTAGGTTTATTCCTAGATATTTTATTCTTTTTGATGCAATTGTGAATGGAATTGTTTTCCTGATTTCTCTTTCTTTTGGTTGATTGTTAGTGTATAGGAAAGCCACAGATTTCTGTATGTTAATTTTGTATCCTGCAACTTTGCTGTATTCCAATTTCAGTTCTAGTAGTTTTGGAGTGGAGTCTTTAGGTTTTTTTATGTACAATATCATGTCATCTGCAAATAGTAACCGTTTAACTTCATCTTTACCAATCTGGATTCCTTGTATTTCTTTGTTTTGTCTAATTGCTGTGGCTAGGACCTCCAGTACTATGTTAAATAACAGTGGAGAGAGTGGGCATCCCTGTCTTGTTCCCGATTTCAGAGGAAAAGCTTTCAGCTTCTCGCTGTACAGTATGATGTAAGCTGTGGGTTTATCATATATGGCCTTTATTATATTGAGGTACTTGCTCTCTATACCCATTTTGATGAGAGTTTTTATCATGAATGGACGTTGAATTTTGTCGAATGCTTTTTCAGCATCTATGGAGATGATCATGTGGGTTTTGTCCTTCTTTTTGTTGATGTGGTGGATGATGTTGATGGATTTCCGAATGCTGTACCATCCTTGCATCCCTGGGATGAATCCCACTTGGTCGTGGTGTATGATCCTCTTGATGTATTTTTGAATTTGGTTTGCTAATATTTTGTTGAGTATTTTTGCATCTACATTCATCAGGGATATTGGTCTGTAATTTTCTTTTTTGGTGGGGTCTTTGCCTGGTTTTGGTATTAGGGTGATGTTGGCTTCATAGAATGAGTTTGGGAGTATTCCCTCCTCTTCTATTTTTTGGAAAACTTTAAGGAGAATGGGTATTATGTCTTCTCTGTGTGTCTGATAAAATTCCGAGGTAAATCCGTCTGGCCCCGGGGTTTTGTTCTTGGGTAGTTTTTTGATTACTGTTTCAATTTCTTTGCTTGTAATTGGTTTGTTTAACTTTTGTGTTTCTTCCTTGGTCAGTCTTGGGAGGTTGTATTTTTCTAGGAAGTTGTCCATTTCTTCTAGGTTTTCCAGCTTGTTGGCATATAGGTTTTCATAGTAGTCTTTAATAATTCTTTGTATTTCTGTGGAGTCTGTCGTGATTTTTCCATTCTCATTTCTGATTATGTTGATTTGTGTTGACTCTCTTTTTCTCTTAATAAGTTGGGCTAGAGGCTTATCTATTTTGTTTATTTTCTCAAAGAACCAGCTCTTGGTTTCGTTGATTTTTGCTATTGTTTTATTCTTCTCAATTTTGTTTATTTCTTCTCTGATCTTTATTATGTCCCTCCTTCTGCTGACTTTAGGCCTCATTTGTTCTTCTTTTTCCAGTTTTAATAATTGTGATGTTAGACTATTCATTTGGGATTGTTCTTCCTTCTTCAAGTGTGCCTGGATTGCTATATACTTTCCTCTTAAGACTGCTTTCGCTGCATCCCACAGAAGTTGGGGCTTAGTGTTGTTGTTGTCATTTGTTTCTATATATTCCTTGATCTCTATTTTGATTTGTTCATTGATCCATTGATTATTTAGTAGCATGTTGTTAAGCCTCCATGTGTTTGTGAGCCTTTTTGTTTTCTTTGTAGAATTTATTTCTACTTTCATACCTTTGTGGTCTGAAAAATTGGTTGGTAGAATTTCAATATTGTGGAATTTACTGAGGCTCTTTTTGTGAGCTAGTATGTGGTCTATTCTGGAGAATGTTCCATGTGCACTTGAGAAGAATGTATATCCTGTTGCTTTTGGATGTAAAGTTCTATAGATGTCTATTAGGTCCATCTGTTCTAGTGTGTTGTTCAGTGCCTGTGTGTCTTTACTTATTTTCTGCCCGGTGGATCTATCCTTTGGGGTGAGTGGTGTGTTGAAGTCTCCTACAATGAATGCATTGCAGTCTATTTCCCTCTTTAGTTCTGTTAGTATTTGCTTCACATATGCTGGTGCTCCTGTATTGGGTGCATATATATTTAGAATGGTTATATCCTCTTGTTGGACTGAGCCCTTTATCATTATGTAGTGGCCTTCTTTATCTCTTGTTACTTTCTTTGTTTTGAAGTCTATTTTGTCTGATATTAGTACTGCAACCCCTGCTTTCTTCTCACTGTTGTTTGCCTGAAATATGTTTTTCCATCCCTTGACTTTTAGTCTATGCTTATCTTTGGGTTTAAGGTGAGTTTCTTGTAAGCAGCATATAGATGGGTCTTGCTTTTTTATCCATTCTATTACTCTATGTCTTTTGATTGGTGCATTAAGTCCATTTACATTTAGGGTGACTATTGAAAGATATGTACTTATTGCCATTGCAGGCTTTAGATTCGTGGTTACCAAAGGTTCAAGGTTAGCTTCTTTAGTATCTTACTGCCTAACTTAGCTCGCTTATTGAGCTGTTATATACACTGTCTGGAGAGTCTTTTCTTCTCTCCCTTCTTATTCCTCCTCCTCCATTCTTCATATGTTGTGTGTTTTGTTCTGTGCTCTTTTTAGGGGTGCTCCCATCTAGAGCAGTCCCTGTAGGATGCCCTGTAGAGGTGGTTTGTGGGAAGCAAATTCCCTCAGCTTTTGCTTGTCTGGGAATTGTTTGATCCCACCATCATATTTAAATGATAGTCGTGCTGGATACAGTATCCTTGGTTCAAGGCCCTTCTGTTTCATTGCATTAAGTATATCATGCCATTCTCTTCTGGCCTGTAGGGTTTCTGTTGAGAAGTCTGATGTTAGCCTGATTGGTTTTCCTTTATAGGTGACCTTTTTCTCTCTAGCTGCCTTTAAAACTCTTTCCTTGTCCTTGATCCTTGCCATTTTAATTATTATGTGTCTTGGTGTTGTCCTCCTTGGATCCTTTCTGTTGGGGGTTCTGTATAATTCCATGGTCTGTTCGATTATTTCCTTCCTCCAGTTTGGGGAAGTTTTTAGCCATTATTTCTTCAAAGACACTTTCTATCCCTTTTTCTCTCTCGTCTTCTTCTGGTACCCCTTGTTCCTTTTGGAATGCTCACACAGTTCTCTTAATATTGTTTCATTCCTTGAGATCTTTTTATCTCTCTCTGCATCAGCTTCTATGCATTCCTGTTCTCTGGTTTCTATTCCATCAATGGCCTCTTGCATCTTATCCATTCTGCTTAGAAATCCTTCCAGAGATTGTTTCATTTCTATAATCTCCCTCCAGACGTCATCTCTTAGCTCTTGCATATTTCTCTGCAGCTCCGTCAGCATGGTTATGACCTTTATTTTGAATTCTTTTTCAGGAATATTGGTTAGGTCTGTCTCCTTCTCTGGCATTGACTCTGTGATTTTGGTCTGTATCAAATTCTTCTTCCTTTTCATGGCTATAGAGATAGTTGTGCGGAGCTGGTGCGTGTGATGGCTGGGAGAACGTTCCTTCTTGCTGGTTTGTGGCCTTCCTCTCCTGGGAGAACAGCGACTTCTAGCAGCTTGTGCTGGGCAATTGCACGCAGACGGGGCCTCTGATTCTTGCCTGGCCGCTGTGGAGTTTAGCTCTGCAGTTGCTGTGGGCGTTGCATGCCTTGGGCTGCTGATCCAATATGGCGGAGCTGTATTGGAGGGGGGATGGCCGAGAGGCTGTTTATCTCCATGAAGGGCCTCCATGCTGCACTGCTGCCCAGGGCGTTAGCGCGCCCTGAGTTCCCCGGGATTCCCAGCTGTTTGTCCCTGGATACTTCCATCCAGCTGTGGGGTCCCTGTCCCTTTAAGACTTTCAAAAAGCACTCACTTTTCTTTGTCCCCGGTGCGCCAGCTGCAGAGACCCACTCACAGGTCTTACTGTCCTGTTTCCCTGGTTTTCAGCACCCAACGCATGCACTGTGTCTGCATTCTGATGCGGATGGCTGGGGCTGGGTGTTCAGCAGTCCTGGGCTCCCTCTCCCTCCCTGCTCTGACTCCTCTCCTCCCGCCGGGAGCTGAGGGGAGGGGCGCTTGGATCTGCCGGGCCCGGGCTTGTATCTTACCCCCTTCATGAGGCACTGGGTTCTCATGGGTGTGGAGGTAGGCTGGCTGTTGTCCTGTGTCTTCTGGTCTCTCTTTTAGAAGAGTTGTCTTGGTTGTATTTTCAAAAATATATATGGTTTTGGGAGGGGATTTCCGCTGTTCTACTCCGCCTCTCCTATAATTTTTATGTTATGAAATGTTACTCAGTTTTTTACTTTTTTCAACCACTTAAAAATGTAACATGCCCAAAAAAATGTAACATGCCAATTATATCTCAATAAAGCTGGAAAAAATGAATTACGTAACAACTATTTTCAGATCCTAAGTTGTACAAAAATAGATGACAGGCTAGAACTGAGCCACATGCTGTAGTTTGCTGATCCCTGTGCTACACAGTTACTCATCATTGTATATTTAGTATAGGCAATGAATATACTCTCCTGTTTTTGTGAAACTTTCTTTTGATTGAGAGATAATGAATCTTTTATGTAGTTGAGCAGTATCCTAATCATTCCTTATTAGAAATTTATTGCTTTGAGGTTGGGCTATTCAACCAGAAAAGTTGGCGAAATTATCTCTACTTCCAAATGACATCACTTTAAAGTTCTTTAACTTACGCCAACTTCAATTGGTTTAAGCAAGTGTTTATTTGTCTCATATAACATGATGCTGGCTTTGGTGCAGTATTGCTTCAGGTCAGAGCCAGCACTTCTGAAGTTCTTTTGACTTTGTACATGTGTGTAGCCTTGTGGTCACAAGATGGCTGAAGTGTCAGGCGTCACATCTGTATTCAGACCAAGTGAAGAGCAAGGATGGTGTTGGACAAATGTGTTCTGGAAAATAAAGGTTTTCCACAAACCTCTCTCCCTCTCATCAATTTTCCCCTTACTTCTCATTGACCAGAAATGAGTCAGATAAACACTCCTATTTGCAAGGGAGGTTGGAGAACCGCAGAATATGATTTTCACGATTAGCTCAGAACAACTGTCTGGACTGAGCATCTTGCGTCTAAGAAACAAATTAGGGTATTGTTAGCAAGGAAGCAAGAGGAAACAGATAATGAGTAGAAAAGTTTGAAAATTAAGAAATTGACCTAAATGGCAAATTTTGCCCCTTAAATATTTCTGTATTTGGGGGACTTTGTAAAAATAATACTAAATCTTTTATCTTTCAGATTTTCCTACTTGAACACTAGCATGGGCTAACTTTTGAATAGGTTCACAGAGCACATGCACAGATTACCCACTATCTATTTCCAGCTTTCAGGGAGGATCCTACAAAATAAAAAGCAGGTTGTCTCTGTGAACCCATTGAGCTCACAGAAATGTCTGCTATACTGATTCTTGGCTTGCTCTTATGTTGCACAGACATTGAAGAAGGGCTCTACAGACCAAGAGAAGATTGAGTTCCTGAAGGAAGCACATCTGATGAGGTATTAGGGCAGCTTTCAATAATTTTCCCATGGTATGGTTAGCTTTTACATCTGATTTATGGTGGATTTATAACATTTGAAATGCTCTAATATAACAGATCATGCCTCAAATAAACATGGCTGAAGTTTAAACAGATGTATATCTCTGGTGACAAGTATTCTGCAGCAGCCAGTCTTCCTGCATGCAGGCAGTCTTCAGGCAAAAGGTCTTCCTTTTACCTTTGATAAGAAATGTGTTTTGCAGGTGACTTCTCAAGCTGTCCAGCTTTAAACACACTTACGTCCTTCTAAATGTGTGATAGTGGGTCTTGACCCACTAAGGGAAAATTCTCTTAAGTATAATGATGTCAATGAAAATATCCCTTGCTTTGATAAACTTGTCTTCTTCAAGTTTAGGACAATTGATAGTCATGAAAACTGCTCAAAGACATCTTCAAGGGCTGAACTGAGGCAGTGGTCTAGGGGTCTCCAACTGTGGGTTCTGATCATTAGATTGGGGCTCAGAAGCTTGACATCTTGAGAAAACAGTTGTAGCCAATCCCATGTGTCTGAATTGCTTCTCTGAAAGAGAGAGAACAGTGTTTCTCACTTCTGTTCACTTGCGGTGAACAGAAACATAACAAAACCTTTTGAAAACAAAAGGTTTTCAAAAACCTTTTGAGGAAGGATATTAGTTAAAATTACTTCCTTTTCTAAAATATAAAATACTCTGAATCGATTTGTCTATAACTCACCCTGTTCTATCTATACGCATTGACCACTAGGGGTTGCCATATTACCTCTGTTAGGCAAGCGCACAGACCAGTACTTGGAAAAGGAGGCTTGCATTTATTGGAGGAAAAAATCAGGGGTTTTGAGGGATACAAAAGATAAAGAATTGCCTTGTTCCATAAAGGCCCTAGGACTTCTGTTGCTATGTCACTCCACATGTCTCTTTCCTCCTTTTAGCAAGTTTCATCATCCCAACATTCTGAAGCAGCTTGGAGTTTGTCTGCTGAATGAACCGCAATACATTATCCTGGAATTGATGGAAGGAGGAGACCTTCTTACCTATTTACGTAAAGCCCGGATGACCACGGAAGGAAATGGGGTCCACAGGATTGGTTTTGTACAGCAAGTGCCCTATAATTTCATATTAATTTAAAAAAATACAATAAATTCATTTCTTTAAATGCAATTTGGGCTGATGGTAGAAACTTAGAAGACGTTTATGGAAAGAATTGGTCAGGATAATTAGAAGCCTGGGCTAATTTCTGGTATTTTCTGCTTATTTGAGCCTGTTTTTAATATTTAATGGAAAGAAGGTCCCTCACTGGCAGATCATGTTTTTGGGAGAACAGAGATTATGTGGAGTTAGAAAAGACACACTTTTTTCTGTACTTAATCTATATGCGTGCCTACCTCAAATTAATATTTTCAGCTGTTGTGTCTTTTTTACTGAGTTCTAGATTTATATGTCTTTACTCAGTTGACATATTTGCTTCGATTTTAGTAGGCATCTCAAATTTATTTGGGCCAAAACAGAACTTCTGATGTCATACATCTTCCTCCATGGCATCCATCCTGTTCCTTGCTTTCTCTTCTCCTACAATGGTGATGACAGGTCCCAGCAGCTCTTTGGTTTTGCCTACAAAATGCAGCTCTAATCTGTCCTTTCTCCAGTGCCTAGTGCAGTGCCTGGCACAGTGTGGACACTGCATATAAGGGTGGAGTGAGGGTCAGCAGGTGGTAGCACCTGCAAGAACCTGCCGTATACTCAGATGAGAAACACATGAGACAAAACAAGTAACTAAAATTTAAGTCTGTAGATTTTAAAAATTTGGTTTTTATTTCCATCAAAGTACACATTATATGGTTAAAAAATTGAAATATATCACAAGGTTTATAGGAAAAAACAAGTCCCATGCTCTATCTCGTCCCCATATCCCAGGCCTGTACATGTTCCTTCTGATATTTACCTCCACGCTCCTAAATATTCTGCTTGTACTGCTGCACATTGAGTTTTCAGTCTTGCGGAGAAATCTATTGGCTGCCTACCATGAAAGGCACAGATTTAACTCTGTTAGACTTACTAATGACCAGCCTGAACCCCACAGCTCTACACAAAGAAAAACCTTGTTTCCTCAACCTCTGACAGTTATCACAATTTTCAGGTAAATCACTATTGCAGGTTTACTCTACTATTTGCTACTGAGACACTCAAATGTTTTTTTCCTTGGACTAGTTTAATAAATACCTTTCCCCCCCCCATTTGTTTAGTTTTCTATATATACTTAAACTCTGATGGAATTATAACAGTTTTCTCAATATGGTTATAGATATGTCAGATAATCTAGCACCTAATAATTTTTTTCTTGGTTACTTTCCTTCTGGAGCCAGTAAAGGTTGGGCTGTCAATACAGCAGCCACCCTGGGGCTTTCCTTCACATTTACCCTGGTGATTTCCACACTGGACCTTTGTTTCCCCTATTCCATGACTTTATTCTGTTTTAGAAAAGAGAAAACATTCATGTAAGACAGAAGTCTCTTTTCCCCCCTTCTCTTTTTGAGAAAATGTCCTTTATTCTTCTCTCACACTTGTTAATGATTTGGCTGATTCTGGGTTGAAACAGCTTTTCCTCAAGAATAAATCTGTTATGTCTTTGTTCTAGCATCTAGAAAGCTTAGAAACTTTAAGAAGTCTTATGCCATCTGATTCTGAACTTAATGACCAATGACCTGCTTTTTGCCCCCCTCTCTGGAAAATTTTAGGAGCTTCTTATCTGTGGTATTCTTTGCCCATCTAGACACTCATCCTGGAAAATCATTCCCTTCAATTCTGGGTTTATTTTTTTTTCATATTATTTGTTTGGTAATAAATAAAACTGTTGTTTCCCCTATTTTCTTGTTCCAAAAATCTTGTTAGTTGGGTAATGGACTGCTTTGTCCATTTTGTTCTATTAGCTGTTTTCTCCTATATTCCAGCTCTGCAGTTTTGCTCTCAATTTTGGTAGATTTCCTCAACTTTTTAAATATAATTTAAAATTCTAATTTTCTACAGATTCATTCGTATATTTTGGCTGCATCTTAAAATAGTATTCTGTTTTTTTCTCCTACATGCAGAATCTTCTGTTATGTTTCCTAAGGTACTAATTATAATTTTTTAAAGTGTTAATTTTCTTCCCAAACTGTCTTGATTTTCCTTTCTCCCCTTTGTTTTTGAATCTGTTTGTAATGTGAGCAGCTTTTCCTAAATACCTGGTGGTTTGTGGCTGGCCTCCCGTTTAGTTGCGAGGCCTGAGGTGCTGATGGGAACCTGCATGTCTGGCAGCTTCCTTCCGGTTGTCAGCTGGATGCTGCTTTCCTGTTGGAGGTTCTCGAATGACAATATCTGCCGGCCTTCCCTGCATCAGAGAGGAGCCTGCTGGTCTCCTGTCTGGGCAATAAATGCCTGAGACTCAGTTCAGGGAGCTGAGAATGGGAAGGGGGTGCAGGTCTCAGGGCTGAGTATATGGACGCTGTAATTCCCCTCTCCATTTTCAGCATGGCTTATGTCTCTGAACTTGGAATTGTTCTGGTTCAGTTTGTGTGTGTGTGTGTATGTGTGTTTGTGCATGTGTGTGTGCATGCTATGATGGTGGGGATCTAGGATCTGGTTTGCCCCTAAAATAAACTTCTAGACATTCCTCTTGCTTTCAGTCCTGCCCCTCACCTCCCTGCAGAGGCACTCATCACTCCCACCTTCAGAGCCTTATGGGGTTCTGTGGTGAAGCCCAGCTTAACTCTTGGCTTCTCCCTCTGCAGGCAGGCAGCTTTCATTTCTCTTGGCTTTGCTAAATTACCACTCCTCCATCTGCTTTTCCTCTCCCAAAATGCTTCATGTGCCATATCAATTCTCCTGATCTATTTGTCCTTGCGAGATTATAAAAAGTTCTCCTATACTGTCATTTTAGTAAGGTTTGGAGGGAGAGTGGAACTGGCCATGCATACATTCGGTCCCCCATCTTAAACAAGAATGGCTATCTGTAATTTTGATTTGGCGGGGGAAAGAGAAGAAAGGCTGAAGATGGGCTAAAAGAAAACATGGGCCTGCTTTTTCCAAACTGTTCCTGCTCAGCCAGGGCCCTGTTGGCTGTACTGATGGACCCAGGCACACTGAGTTCTCCCATTGCCTCACCTGCCTGCTGTCTGAGACAGCGCCGGTGCTGCTTCGCCCTGACAGGGTGCTGTTAGGTGCTCCATACAAGGATTAGCAGAGCACTAGAGCCTCTAAGTCCCCACCACGCTGGTTCACTGGGGGCTGGCCTTCTCTCCAAGGGGCAAGCACAGAAGTAACATTCCAGAACAGCCACAAGCATTCTTTTTCTGTCCTGCTCCAGACTGTTGTGTTGGGTTGCGTGCATAAGAATTGACTCCAAAGGCAACTCGGCCCATAAACCTTAGTCTAATACTTTATTTTCAGCAACTCATTTTCTGCATCTATAAAATGGGATATAGCATCAGAAACTTTCTCCGACTCTTTTTAGCTTTGGTGTCTTAAGACTGTGTTAAGATAGAAAAAAGTAAAACAAAAACAACAAAACAAAAAACCTAGCCTATCAAAAAAAGTACAAATACATAGACATAGCCAGTTATAATTAAATTCATCAATCTTTTGCTGCATGTTTATTATGTAATAGTGAAGGAGCTCTTGTTTTCAAGGCCCATGCCACATGGTAAAGAGATAATGTATAATAGCTCACTTCAGGTGGAAAGTGGGAAGACATTAGAGTGGAATAGAGAATACACAGCTGACGCACAGAGAAAGAGATGATATCCACCTGGGGAGACCAGGGCAGGCTTCATGCAGGAGGTCATCTGTTTGGACACTACCGAAGTGGGGGATAGAAGAGTTTCTGAGACTGAAGCTCTCACGTGAGTCATGACAGGCTTTGACCAGGGATAGACCCAGGGGGGGGATCTAGTCTGGAGAGTTTGACAAGAGATAAAAGCATGTGTCTTAGGGCAGCACCTGGAGACAAGGAGGACCCATGTGGGGTGTCCCAACAGACTGTCACAGAGGCTGTCAGGAGCAAGTGATAGAGATTCAGGTAGGCAGGCAGGTGGGCAGCTCTCGAACAACCTGTAAGCAGGGAACATGGTGCTAGACACCAGACCGAAGTCCAGGAGCAGGATTCTAGGTAAAGAGAGTCTTTGACTGGGTAGGTTTTGTGACAGCAAAGCAGGGCTCCACTCACAGAGGAACCAGTGAACCAGTCAGGGCATCCAGCAGGGCTCAGGCACAGGCTGTGAGACCATGAGCATCGAGAGGACCTCAACAGGGCTGCAGGGGGTTGAGTCTGGAGAGTAAGACAGGGCCTTGTTACCAGACTTAGGTGTGAGTGGGACCACAGCAACACTGAGTCCTAAAACATGAAGATTCTTCTGAGTTTGGGAACAAGACGTGACACTGTCTCGGGAGGCAAGGAGAGCAGCACTTAAGAGCACCCATCCCTGAGGAACCGAGGGGTTTCAAGGTTGGGAATCATTTAAGATGCCCAGTGAAGTATGAGAATGGAAATCAAGAAAAAGGAAGGCATTCCAGGAATGACTGCAGGAATAAAGATGAGAGGTTGAGAAATGCAGAGTGGGCATAAGGAACTACAAAGAGGCTCAGTGTGATAAAAGCACAGATTGTGGGAGATAAATGGGCATAAAGAGATTCTGGGGCAGCCTGGGGAACCTACAGGAGGCTCTACAGGCAGCAGATCACAAGGAGGCAAGCCAATTAAAGTGCAGGAGGCTGGAGACATGGGAAGTTTGGGATACATCAGATGGGGAAGATAAAGGCCTGAACCAGGGTAATTGCAGGGAAATGGCAAAGGACAGACAGTATATGAATGTGGCCTCAGGATAGGAACATTGAATTTTTTCCATGTGGTACTAAGAAAAGCTTCAACTGACTTTTCTTATGTAGAAAACATTGCAGCCAGTACAGGCTGAATTGTATGTATGTGCTGGCTCTCTCAGAGAGGAGTTATCTGTGACCTTGAAGTAGAATATTGCTAACAATCTATATGGGGTTATATGAGAAACAAGCCCCTTTGCCATGACTGACAGCATAGTGTGACATTGGGCCAATAATTAAACTAGCTAGCACTATTTAAATTGTCATTATTATCACTTGTGAGAGCAGCTACTGTTTATTAAGTGCCAGTTACATACCAGTCAGATTACATATCTTCTCTTAAATCCTACATGGTCATTGTTATTATTCCCATTTTCCATATGAGAAATTTGCTCAGTGAATTAAGCATTGGGAGTTACTCATACAGTGAGTAATTAATAGAATTAGGTTTCAGATCTTGGTCTATGTGATCTGATACCCTGAGACCTTTCCAATAAAGATTTCATATTTCCTCTGCTTACTAAATAGTCTTATTCATGTATATTTCAGTAGAAAGCATAGTGCTTTTCCTCTTTGTTTGAATTATTGTAACCATAACTAAAAATTCCCTTAAAACCTCATATATATGTGTATATATGTGCATATATATGTAACCATATATATATATATGTTATATATATACAAATTTGTAAAAACTGGAAAAACGCTGTAATTTTTCTTTCATTTCTTGCAGTTTCATGGTCCTTTACTCACCTTGGTTGATCTTGTAGACATGTGTGTAGATATTTCAAAAGGCTGTGTCTACTTGGAGGAGATGTACTTCATTCACAGGTACAGTGATATTCTAGATAAAGTTCTAGTGGATACCAGCATAATAATAGCCTGTAGTTTAGGCAAAACATACAGGATAATTAAACATGTTCCTTCCTTCAAAATAACAATAATTTCTGTAAAATGGTCTTCTCTACAGGCCTCCTAGTGTTACTTATCTGATATCTGGAACTTTATTATTACTATTATTAAATATAGCTTCTGCCATAGGGATCTGGCAGCTCGGAATTGCCTTGTCTCTGTGAAAGACTATACCAGTTCATCACGGAGAGTAAAGATTGGGGACTTTGGACTCGCAAGGGACATCTATAAAAATGATTACTACAGAAAGAGAGGGGAAGGACTGCTGCCTGTTCGGTGGATGGCTCCAGAAAGTTTGATGGATGGGATCTTCACTACTCAATCTGATGTTTGGTGAGCTTAACAGGATACAGAGCAATGTGGGCAGAACAAACCAATGTGAGAGCCACAAGGGAACTTAAAAGGCCACCTAATCTTGTTTTTTACATGACGAAACTGGAGACCAGAGAGGTTAAGTGATTTGCCTCAAGGTAAAGTGAAAGCTGGTGGCCAAGGTCTGACTTTTCCTGGGTGTCATCAGTGCACACCCTCCCACCAATCAGTTTTGATCTTATCTTAGTAGTGTATAAGAAATAGATATATTTGCCTCAAGTATTTTATTACTGTCCAAAAGTGTAAAGGCTATGACTAACAGCAATTGGTACGTATGAATTCATGTTCAAGTATGTGTCCAAATGCCTACCATTTTGGGATGTTTGGTCATTAATTTATAAGTAGACCTTTATGGCTCATAGATCTCAAAAAGATCAGGACAGTGGAGTAATTTGGACATCTCTTTTTTATTATTTGAATAAGACCCCTCATTTTTGTTGTTGACTCCAAAATTTGACTAGAGCTGCTCAAAATGTAAAGATTTGTTAGATAATTTTTAAGCTGGACTGGCCTTAGGCAAAATTTCGATTGAGATAAAATGGGTAATAAGTGTTGCCAGTTTTTATTCATGCTTTCCTTTTCCACTTTTACTAGTATTGAAACACAGAAAAAAAAAGGTGAAATGCTTTCTTGGTCACCCTAGGTGAGTCTACATATCGATACTCTGACGCCTTTGGTAATGGAGGTCTGCAGTGCAGTTTCGACTAGGAGGAGAAGCTCTGTGTGTGTGCGTGTGTGTGTGTGCGCGCGCACGCGCCTCCATTAAGCCTTCCTGTCACCTTTGAAGTGGTCCTAGTAGGCCGTTGCTTGTTCTACTTTTTCTTGAGGTCAACTATTTTGTATTATTTTAAGTCTCCCGTTTACCTTTTATGGGACCAACAATGTCAATCACAAAGTAGATCCCAATGCCCCAGGAATAATTATGTTGGAGAAACTGCTATAAACATGATATTTGTAATGAGCCTAATTAAAGTACTCTTTAATTAACATCCTTAGGTCTTTCGGAATTCTACTATGGGAGATTTTAACTCTTGGTCGTCAGCCTTACCCAGCTCATTCCAACCTTGATGTTTTAAACTATGTGCAAACAGGAGGGAGACTGGAGACACCGAGAAATTGTCCTGATGATCTGTGAGTTAATTGTGCTAACATAAGCACCCAAAAAACAAAAACATGTGCACATGCAATTTTATGCCTCATTGGATATTTTTAAACAAAGACTGGAATTTATATATTTATATGGCTTATATGAAACATAAATTAATTGGAGCACTTAATTTGCTAAATACACGATGGTTTCTCTTTATATACATAATATTTCACTTCAGAAACAAAATTTAGAAGACTTGGTTAGATGAATTTGAGTAAACAAAAGCTTTTTGGGTGTATGTGTGTGTATACTCATTTTATTTGGGAAGATCTGATTTGGTTAATATCTTAATTTGTATATTAAAAGATTTTATTCAATAGGACTATATTGTTTAAATGCTGGATTGCTTTTGTTAATATAGCTGATACTGGGATATACTACTATTAAAAACTAAACAAAAGTCATCATCTGTTTTTGAACTTAATAGAAAGTGACTAAATATTAGCAACTATATCAAATTGACCCTGGTCACTACTGAAGTCTGATAAATTTGTAATCCTCAGAAGAGTAGGTTACTTTGATCTAATTATAAAAGAAAAACAAGCCAGGTTATTTTGCTGAGGACTAATCTACCTTCTTGTGAATAACCTAAGCAGAAATATGAAGTCTGGAAACTTTCAAGAGGTATTTTACCCAAGAAGCTTCTAAAATACGAATACTCAAGTATAAACTCCTGTGCATAATACCATGCTAAGGATTGTCTGGAATACAGAGATGTTTAAGCCAGAGCCATGGCTCTTCAACATCTCAGAATGTATTTTGAAAGAAACACACATGGAGCAGTTGGATAACAAGCCAACACGTAACAAAGTGCTTAACTGTGTGGTACAGACAAGTGCAAAAGGAATTAGCAGTATGCGGATACACACCATGGTTGTGCTGCCTTCACTCTGTTGTGTTATTTTAGAGGGTTATTCAGACTGGAGCCAAAGATGATTAAGAACTGGGCATCTTGTTTGGATGTTCTACTGGTGAATGTTTTTGTATTATTTAAATCTTCCAGCTAGGAGAAGACGATTTGAATCACTGCTTGTTTCTGATTTAGCTTTTATAGCCTCTGGGATATTTACAGGGAGATCAGATATACACATATCTGAACAAGTTTGATGGCAGTGCCTTAAAATTATTCATGATCCTTTTGGAGAGAAGGAAATAAATTCTGTAAATTAGGAGTAATAACTTATATAAAAATCTGAAGATCTTTGACCTAGGGTTTGAGGGAAAAATCCCAGCATATTTAAGCAAGAAATACATTTTAATTAAAAAGATTAGTTAGCAAACTAATCACTGTTTTGCTTCTCTTACACATCTGTCAAACACTCAGAAATTTTCTCCAGAATTTCAATTGCACAGAATTTTTATTATGCTGTTAGAATTTTATCTGGTATATTTGCTCGCCAGGGGGTAATGTACCTTATCACAATTATTCAATTTTTTTTTGATAGGCACTTTAGGAATCAATCACTGAATTATAATTATGGTTGATGTGTTCCCTTATTTTGTTTGGAGAGGATGGGGGTGGATAATTAATTGCCCTATTATGGAGCAGAAAAATGTAGGTATGTTGAACTTTGCTCTATCCAAAGATATCCAAAAATGCAACTGGAAGGAGAAGGAAGAAGGAGTGCTAGAGAAATCTTAGAAAAATATTCCTGATTACTAGTGGAAAATGATAATACTCTATATAATTTTATCTTGACTAATTCACTTGTCAGATATATTGTTGCCCTAATATTATAAAAATACAGTTTCCATGAAACCAACATTTCCCACTGGTGGTTTGAAGTTCATTTGAGCATCAGTAACAAAAAGTAAACAATGTTCCCAGCCCTCCAAGTGCCATATGCTTTCAGGGCCCCAGGAAGGGTTAACATCCATTGCCAATCAGAAAAACAAGCTGTGCTACGAAATGGAGCTATCAGCCATGCCATTCAATCTGGTCATGGCCTTAAGTTGTCATGATAAAGATTAACTACTCTCCTTAGAGTACAGAGGGAACTGATTTTTATTTGAAGCAGTTCTCTGGGATCACAGGCCCAGCTTAGAGGGTTGAAAGTCTGCGCCAACCCATGCTACATCTTCTATTCACCAATTACTCAGCACCTGGATGCACTCTGGGGCAGGTGAGCCCATAGATGGTATGCTGTTCTCAGCTATTAATGGAATGCAGGAGTTCAGAGCATTCCTGCCTTTCTTCCCACAGCCTGGGATGCACAGTAGATAGCCCAGTCCTCAATATTCTCTTTAGCTTTCAGTTGCACAACAACCACACCACTCTCAAGAGGAAACAGGATCAAAGGGCTATGTACTTCAAGTGAGAGCTCTTTGGGGTTCTTTGACACATTGGTCACTCACGTGGCAACTGGAATTACTAGGGAGTCTTTCAAATATAAGAGGCACCAATGAGAGAACATAGGGGTTCACCATCTTATTTTTACCTCTTAAAAAATATGTGCACTTAGATGTTAATTCAATCTTTTCATGATAGGTATAATGAATAAGGGAGTTCTTAAAGCTCTGTATTTTATGTGCTTTGTTTAAATAGTATAGAAACCCATCCTCTTAATACTGAAAGATGCTATGGAGTTTTCATCTGCTGAATTTCAATTGCTTTATGAATCTAAGGACTTTAATATGCATAGAGACCAATAATGAACATGGTTACTGAGTCTTACGCTATTTTGAAAAAAAATCGAGACAGAGGAGTAAAGGGTTCGAATGGTGAATGGAGGAATTTCAATCTAAACACTTAGCCAAGTGAGATATTTCAAGTATGAGAGAGTATTTTCTAGAGCTAGGTCAACCAGCCTAGGTAAATTTTGACAAAGGGGAAGGACCTGAAGTTTGTTTATAGTATGATTGAATATTTGTAAGTATAACTTAGTGCAATTATCTAGTGCATGATATTGAATTGTGACAAGTGCATATTTGTAAGGGAAGACTTGGATGCTGAAGGTTTAGTTGTTGTTACTAATTTACCTGAAAGATAGAAGAAATGAATTTTTTAGGTTTGTTAAATTCTTAACAGTTTCTTCATTTTATTCCATTGCCAGTACAAGGATGTTTAAGAGTACATGTTGTCATCTTTACTTTTAAATAACTTTTGCTTTATAGAGCTCCTCTTTTCTTAACATAGGGCAATTCAGCCCTGGATAGTAGGAAAGAAAGGTTTTATTTGGATTCAACATAAATTAAACCCTCTTTGGATGGAAAAAAATAGAAATATCTGTTTAAATAACTTACTAGATTAAACAAGAGGCTGAACTTTCGAGGGCTGTGTGAGCAGGTGAGGTGCAGCCTGGCTAAGTAAGCGGTATCTTTGAGGACGGCTTCTCTCTCTTCCCTTCTTTCCCTTCTTTCTTCTTGCTTTTTCCTTCTTTCTCTTCTAAATTATCTCTATTAAGTGTCTTGAATTCTTTGTAGCATGAAACAGGTTCTGTTTTTTACTTTTTTAAAAAATTTACTTATTTACTCTTAAATAATAAAACTTCATAATTAAGTCGAAATACGTTAAGTCGAGTGATTCTATCCTTTGGCAATGTCTTTGAATCACAACTTTATTTTCAGAAAGGATATGCTTCTTACTGTGAATTATACTTTTCCTCTCACCTCTTAGGACAACCTTTAGGTTAGTTATCAAGATTTTACTTTTAACTATTGGTTTAAATGTCATTATCGAATATCAGTTATAATATTTTGTTTCAAAGTCTAATCATCCTTCATTGAGATATTTGTATCATCCCTCTTTCTAAATGCCACAGATTATAAAGAAATATATTATAAATTAAGTTCTTGGCTATGATTCCACTTTTTAAAAGTAAAGTCAAGTTTGGCACTCTATATGCAGAATGTAAATTCCTTATATATATATATGAAATTCATCAGATCAGTACTGGAAAATAGACCAGTGTTAAGTTTTCCTTCCCCTTTGTCAAAATTTACCTAGGCTGGTTGACCTAGCTCTAGAAAATACTCTCTCATACTTGAAATATCTCACTTGGCTAAGTGTTTAGATTGAAATTCCTCCATTCACCATTCGAACCCTTTACTCCTCTGTCTCAATTTTTTTTCAAAATAGCATAAGACTCAGTAACCATAATACTCTGACATTGAATACGAATTCTAACCTGAAGTGCTTGTCAAGAAATGAAAGAGATGGAAATGGTATTTGCATGCCACACTGTAATGTAATGAAGATTCCATTGTAGTTCCTAAATAGATACAAGGGAGCTATTTTAAATACAATTCCTATAATGATTTCTGGGTCACTGACACCTAGTGATTGAATGTATTCTTACCTAGCTCCATTGTCATTAGTTTAGTCCAAACCATCATAATCTCTCACCTAGGCTTCTTAAACAACTTCCTTGCTTCCAACTTACCCCTCTATAACCCATTCTCCACATACATAAATTAGAATAATCCTTTAAAATATAAAGATCATGTCTGCTTAAAAGCCTCTGCAGCTTTCCATTGTAGTACTATAAAATCCAACTCCTAGCCTGGTCTAAGAGACCTGCATGTCTCACCTTCTTCTTCTGACCTCATCTCTTATACTCTCCCAATCAAAGACTTTCTTCAGCCACACTGACTTTCAGACTCTAAAATAGGCCAAGCTCTCCCTAAACTTAGGAATTTACACATGCTTTTTCCCTCTTCTAGTATGTTCCTTGACTCCCATTTCCATTCTATTCCCAGGAGTAGATCTATATTATTTTGCTACTTAAATTTCTTTGGCTTAAATGTCACTTCTGTAGAGGGTCTCTCTATGAGCAACTTACCAAAAATGTCCCATCTTTACTAGATCTCACATGTTTTCTTTAGTACTCTTTCTTAGAACTTACAGTTTATTGTTGAATATTTATCCATTGATATAGTAGTACTATTTTAAATTCTTCCCAATTTATGTTTCTTTATCACTTTCTGTCTCCCTGCCCCAATCTGCTTTATAGCTCCTGAAAATCAAAAAAGGAAAACAGATACTTGACCTTTTTAGTAAGTCAGTAGATTTGAAAACCAAGCTTGGAAGAGAGAGCGAGTTATCTCCACTCGTTTAGCTCCTTGTTAGTATGCTAAATGCCAAGTCTGAGTGACTAGAACCTACAATTCTACATAATACTCATCTAATAAATAAGCATATCTAATTATCTAATGAAGATAATCCAATAAAAAGGGATAATCTCATTTAAAAGAGCAGGCAAGTAGAAATCCCCCCTACTTCTAAGCCCTGGGGAAGTATGGGAAGAAGACACCTTGTGGGAGGAGGGTGAAGATGTTGGCCATCTAGGTACTGAAACCTCCTCTGTAGCCTCAGTTAGATCAGGTATGGGCAACACTAAGGGCATGGAGTGAGTGCACAATCCTCCCAGTTTGGGAGGATGGCAAGGAGGTTGATACACAGGGGACCCCCCGACTCCACTGACGTGGAGATCTAGCATCATGAATAAGGTAAATGGCATGTCTAGACAGAGAAGGTCTAGTTTGCACTTCCAAGCCTCCTTTGTTTCTCATGTAGTATGAACATTTTGTTGAAAGGTAGAGATTCATCCAAGGAGCACCCTGTGGGCATGCCACAGAAACAAGAATGGATTCACTGGGCCTTGTCAGCAGATATAAGACACGATGCAGTGTCAGAGAAGGCTACAGCTAGGGAGAGAAAAAGGAGGATCAGTTCAGTGCAGAAGGGCCAAATGAGAGGTGAAGGAATCACAGACTGCACATAGCAGCTGCTGCTTGCAGGATGGACAAGACTAGTCACTCCTTATTAAATTCCTTATTATTCTGCTCTGAGGCTGGTGAAAATATGGAGAGTACAGTGGGGTCCAGAGGATCCTTCACTGTGCCTTTATAAGCCACACAAGACTTTCACCCAACATATATCCTGACACTGTCTTGGAGAAGACAGAAGGAGTAGATAGCCTAAAAATAAGAGATTGAGTTATCTAGAAAAGACTGAGCATTACCTCTAAAAGATGGATTTCGACTAGCTTTTCAACTGCATTGTACTAAATGAAGTTGATTTTCTTCTGCTAGGTGGGGGCTCTGAGAAATACATATTTAGTTACAGACAATATGAAAGAGCTACACTTTTTTCCTGCTTACATGAGTTGGAGTGAGATAAAATTTTGTTGCCTGCTTAAGTTTGCTGTATGTATCCCTACTAGGTCAGGAGCCATATTACCACATCCCTAGCTCTTGAAAACTGTTGGTATATAAGTGTCCAACAGATTTTTGCTGAATACATGAATGGACACCATGAGTGCTATGCAGACAGTTCTTAGACAGCTGTTAAAAAAACATAATGTTTATAGAGCCAGCTATTAATGTCTGGGAATTGAGTCTCTTAATGATCCTGACAGCGTAGAGAAGAATTAAAGCACTAGAATTGAGTCTGATCTCTATCTCTGGTTCTGTTACTAAATATCAGTATGGCTTGGAGTTGCTTTAGATTTTGGTTTATACATCAGTACATGAATGTAAGGTCTTTTTAATCTTCAATCATTTTAATAGCTGATAGTTTCCTCATGTCTTGAGCAAACATTTCCAACTGTTTATTTATCTATTTACCTGGGTTAATAACTAGATTAAGAGCTATTAAAAAATGTCAGTGTTTCTCAAAGAAAGATGTTATCTAATAAAGTTAGCAATATTGCAGGCCACTGTTAAATAAGAAGCCAAAGATTTTGTTCAGGTTCATTTATATTAATTATGGAAAACTGGCAATAACTCAAATTCTTTTCCTTCTCAAATGACCTTACACAGACTATCAATCAGTAATGGTTGCCTAAAGACATCCTATCACCAATTACTTTCATGTCTTTACCCACATATCCAGATGGAATTTAATGACTTAGTGTTGGGCTCAAGAACCTGACCAAAGACCTACTTTCCACAAAATTCAAGACCAGCTTCAGTTATTCAAAAATTTTTCCTTAAATACTATTTCTCAATGCAGAGAAGAAGCAAGCCCCAGTGGAGTCATAAATAAAGGTTTTGAAGGTAAGTTTGATTCATCTTCAGAATTTTCTGGATTTCTCTGCAGTGTGAACAAAACAAAGTTTAAAGGGGATGTACACAGAAGACATTTTATGTATCTTAGTATTTTACACAAGACAATAATAATTGCTTATTGTACTCCTTTTTGAAAATAATTTGATTTGTGCACTACATTAAAAAAAAAGAATAGTGATATGGCCCCTGAAATTATAGTCTAAGGTGGTAAAGAGGTGAATTAACATGTTAGATTATATTTTCATGAGGTCTCTTCCCTTCCCATCTACCCCTCACACCAGCTTTAACCTCAGATGCATAACTGAGTTAATTATAGACTCTTAGTTATAGTACACTATCATCATTGATCTATGCAATGCTCTTCTTTCGTTTGTTTGTTTAGTCCCTTTATCTCCACATTCTTTCTTGTTCTATTTTCTTTCTGCCCTTTCCAGGCAACCTTTCCAGTGTTTTTAATATGTATCTTTTTTTTTTGAGAGGGCATCTCTCATATTTATTGATCAAATGGTTGTTAACAATAATAAAATTCAGTATAGGGGGGTCAATGCTCAATGTACAATCATTAATCCATCTCAAGCCTAATTCTCATCAGTCTCCAATCTTCTGAAGCATAACGAACAAGTTCTTACATGGAGAACGAATTCTTACATAGTGAATAAATTCTTACATGGTGAACAGTACAAGGGCATTCATCACAGAAACTTTCGGTTTTGATCATGCATTATGACCTATAAACAATCAGGTCAAATATGAATATTCGTTTGATTTTTGTACTTGATTTATATGTTGATCCCACATTTCTCCTATTATTATTATTATTTTT